AGTATCCTCTTCTTGACGAAAGCTGCCTTGGCCATGGCTATCCTTGCTTTTACCTCCTTGGTGCATAGAGCGTCCGTCGTGATTATGCTTCCCAAGTACTTGAAATGCTCCACATTCTCCATCTGTTGGTTTCCAATTACAACGTTCAATGGTTGTGCTCTCGGTGCTATCCTCATTACCTTTGATTTTTCAATGTTGATTTCCATTCCATACTCTCTACCTGTTTCCACTAACTTGTCCATCATGTTCTGTAATTCCTCCTCTTCCTTCGCCAATACTACTAAGTCGTCTGCATACTTTACAGTCTTTATCACTCTATTGAAGAAATAAGTCCAATCAACTGGGTGAATCTTTTAGAACAATATTTTGTTAACATGTATCTGTTTATTTATTTTCTAATTGTTATTTTCCATTTATAGCATTCATTGTTACTATAATCTAATTTTTTAAGCAAAACACATATCTATTTTTGTGTACAAAATTTCTCATGTTCTAAGTACCATTGCTTGTTAATTAACAGCGTCATCAATTACTGTTCATTTCTTTGCATTCAACTGCCCTATCCTAATAACTAACACGTCTTCAAGGTCTTCTATTCGCACATCCTTCAAATAATTAGTTTTTATCCCCCCCCCCAACACTGAGAATATCTCCAACATCACATCAACTGATGAAAAGGTTTACCCCAAAATGAAAGAAGTGGTTGGAAATACTTTGATGGCTTGCACCAGGACACTGTTCTTTGTAGGCGCACATCTCTTTTTCTTCACCAATGCTTTATCCTGTCCTTTTGCCCACAATTGGTGTTCAAACTGAACTGTGGTTGGATACTGTATGTTACTCAAAATGTGCATTTACAGAACAGTTCACCAGCCCTGTTAAAAGGCAAGAACGTAGATTATCTGCAAGTGTTATACCAGAATTATCGGATTCCTACCTGTTCCTGCACACGTATTCTTGGTAATGTTTCCATTTTTAAATCAAGGCTCCTCTGAGTGCAGGTTCATTTACTGTAATTGCCTGAATGCAGAATGTCATCGCTGAAATCAAGTAACAACCTAGCTCCCTCTCTGAGTTGCTATAAGTGGTTTCTTACCTGAGTGGGCATTATTTGTTGACACAAAATTGTTGGTGTGCAGTATTTGTACAACTAAATATTCCAGGCATTGTCTGTAAATCCAATGGAAACAAAATAACATGATACTGTATCAGATCTGATTACAATGTTTAATTTTACATTTGTTGCGCCACAGATGGTGGTTAGTGGAGATGGAATTTTACTGGGGGAGTCCCTTTGAAATTAAAGATGGAATTTCTGTTTCATGGGCACAGTGCAAGGGTGGCGGTATACAGAGGGGCAGTTTCAGTTCACATTATCGAAAAGGACAGCGCAGCACTTCAGATGGAAGTGTGTGTATGTGGAAACAAGACAGAAGCATGACTAACTGACCTCGTGCCTGATATCCTCCGGTAGTTATTTGGTCCATAAACTGCAAGCACACTCACACCTGACCCAATGTTCACAATCTGCAACATATTCCACGCACCTTTGTAACTCAAAATGCAGAAGTAATTTCGTCACATAAAAATCAAACCAAACCAAAGGAAACCTAGCAAGACTGAGCACAAACTGTAGCCTCTCCTACAAAAAGAGAGCTGTTAATTATTTCTCTTGGACCAACTTTCTCCACCCTGACCCTATTTATTACATTTAACTGCTAATGACAGGTGCAGTCTTAAGTTTTTGAAATAATCAAAAGTAGCATTAGGCCAAATCTGGCGAATATGGCGGATATTCTAATTTCAGTACAGTACAACCCCTCTATAACACAGTTCCGGATATAACGCGGGTACCTCATGTCGCCCATAGTGCAGCAAAAAATAAAAAAAGCGCATCAATTATCCTTCACACAGAACTCAAGATTCATAATTTTAGTAGCGTAAAAAGTATTCAAAGTGTATAATTGTCATACAAAATATGTATTATTGTACTGTATAAGAGTGCAGTGTAAAGCAAGTGACCTAAGAAAAATATTTTACGTAAGTACAATACACTTTCTCATAATTACAGTATAATATATTTTAGTAAGGTATATTAAAATGCAAGTCAAATTAATTATTTATTACTTTTTCCATAAGGTACATCCAGTACTTGTACCGATTTTTCCGATGCACTCCCGTAATAACGCGGTTTCTCTATAACGCAGGTTTACCCATCCCCCGCGACCCGCATTATAGCGGGGTTGTACTGTATAGACTTTTAGGCCAAAAACTCCTCGGTAGTGAACACACCATGAGCAGGGTCATTCACAATGCAAGATCCAAGCATCGGGTAAAAGTTCAGGTCTTCTCAGACAAACAATGCTGGTTCACTGTTCAACCTTTTTCAACAAACTCAAAGTGAATAAAACAACAAAGCAAAGTCTAGTTCTTTCGTTGTCGTTGTGTTCCTGATCCTCTTTAAACACTTTGTGCCACTCAAAGACAGTGGGCATTCTCTAACAATCTTCCTGCTGGGATGAAAACGAGCCTGTCACCACTTTGCCACTACTGCCTTACTTGCTTCACCAACACACAAGGCACAACCGCAGACATGTTAATATGTTTCTGCTTAGTCACTGCTCACTCGCTACTCTGCATGACATGTGCGGACATTAGGGGAACTTCATTGTCACACCTGATATAATTTTTGGCTTTCGGGAATAAGTCTCATAGGATGGCGAAGGGTTTCCAACGTTCTGATAAACACCCTGATAATAGGAACTGCAACTGCCACAACATTTCACATCCTTCAATATGTATGGTTTATTCTGGAAAGCTGAAGTTAAACATATTTTTGACTTCTTGAAAAGGGTTCAGTGAAGTTAAATGTAGAAGTCCAGACAGCAGGAAGCTATACAAGGACACTTGCAGACTCAAATATCAAAGTACTTTCCAAACCAAAGCTGGAAGAGAAATGGCAGAATGATTATGGACTGCAAAGTGGTAAGGATGTGGGATACACGAATCAAGACCTATTTTAAAATACTGTTCCAGCTGAAGAGGGGGGACAACATAAAGAAACAAACATGCAACTATTTGGTTACATTTAAATTTTTATTTTAATAATTTAGATGCTGACAAATAGGGACTGGACTGTATTTCTCATTAATAAAACCAAATATTGCTGCTCAGAATGAAAATGTGGCTTAATGCAAGAAAAAATATTTCTGCACCTGGACTGCTATGATCAATGATGACTTACCAGAAAAGGATAAGGATCACTGAAGTCAAAGAACCTCTTTTCACAGCGCCCTTCCTCTGTAGGGTTGACCCAGTAGTAGCACTCACAGGGATTGTTGGTCTCCACATAAAGCATGCCCCGAATCAGTGAATCCAGCTCATCAAACTTGGCAAGACGCATGTTCAACTCCTGAATGAGATACAGTACCACTAACACAGCAACCCACCAGTGCACCTTATCCTTAGCAGAATGAAGCATTAAATGAGACACACATGCACTCAAATGGATGGCATTAAACTGCCTAATTTTGCACTTCTGTGCCTATCTTTCTTAAAATAGCCATATTTTAATAAGTTATATAAAGGAAATGAATGCTATTATAAAAAGCTTTAAAAAAGAACATTCATCTTTCCCTCATTGTGTGAAATAACTGCCACGGTGGTATAGCGGTTAGAACGCTGGGCTTGTAATACTGGGGGTCCCGGGTTCGATTCCCAGCGGTGCTCAGATTTACAACTTGTGTTGGGCAAGGCCGTGGTCCAGGCATCACGGAGTTTTCCTCCGGGGCTTCCCCAGTTTCTCTGTGGCATCCCAACAATTACTCCACTTTCATCATTATTTCGTGAAAAGGGGGTCACAGCAGGAGCGTTAAATGTCACGGTCCCGATCGAACCCATGTACTGGTGGGTCGTGAATCCTGCTAACCACCAATGCACACCATGCTGAATGGTGTGTACTGGATATGAAAAAAAAAAATTGTGTGAAATATGCAATGTTGTAATGTTTCTTTCTAGGAGGATGATGCAATCTTCACTTCATTGGGCTGCAGAGTTTGTTTTTGCTCCAGCTTGTACAGAAACAATCTCATTCCCACACACGTTCTTCATCAATGAGTCACTGAACTATCACAGTTTTTAATGTCACCAGAGTATTACATATGAAAAGGCCCCAAAGACTTTTAGGCCAAAAACTCCTCGGTAGTGAACACACCATGAGCAGGGTCATTCACAATGCAAGATCCAAGCATCGGGTAAAAGTTCAGGTCTTCTCAGACAAACAATGCTGGTTCACTGTTCAACCTTTTTCAACAAACTCAAAGTGAATAAAACAACAAAGCAAAGTCTAGTTCTTTCGTTGTCGTTGTGTTCCTGATCCTCTTTAAACACTTTGTGCCACTCAAAGACAGTGGGCATTCTCTAACAATCTTCCTGCTGGGATGAAAACGAGCCTGTCACCACTTTGCCACTACTGCCTTACTTGCTTCACCAACACACAAGGCACAACCGCAGACATGTTAATATGTTTCTGCTTAGTCACTGCTCACTCGCTACTCTGCATGACATGTGCGGACATTAGGGGAACTTCATTGTCACACCTGATATAATTTTTGGCTTTCGGGAATAAGTCTCATAGGATGGCGAAGGGTTTCCAACGTTCTGATAAACACCCTGATAATAGGAACTGCAACTGCCACAACATTTCACATCCTTCAATATGTATGGTTTATTCTGGAAAGCTGAAGTTAAACATATTTTTGACTTCTTGAAAAGGGTTCAGTGAAGTTAAATGTAGAAGTCCAGACAGCAGGAAGCTATACAAGGACACTTGCAGACTCAAATATCAAAGTACTTTCCAAACCAAAGCTGGAAGAGAAATGGCAGAATGATTATGGACTGCAAAGTGGTAAGGATGTGGGATACACGAATCAAGACCTATTTTAAAATACTGTTCCAGCTGAAGAGGGGGGACAACATAAAGAAACAAACATGCAACTATTTGGTTACATTTAAATTTTTATTTTAATAATTTAGATGCTGACAAATAGGGACTGGACTGTATTTCTCATTAATAAAACCAAATATTGCTGCTCAGAATGAAAATGTGGCTTAATGCAAGAAAAAATATTTCTGCACCTGGACTGCTATGATCAATGATGACTTACCAGAAAAGGATAAGGATCACTGAAGTCAAAGAACCTCTTTTCACAGCGCCCTTCCTCTGTAGGGTTGACCCAGTAGTAGCACTCACAGGGATTGTTGGTCTCCACATAAAGCATGCCCCGAATCAGTGAATCCAGCTCATCAAACTTGGCAAGACGCATGTTCAACTCCTGAATGAGATACAGTACCACTAACACAGCAACCCACCAGTGCACCTTATCCTTAGCAGAATGAAGCATTAAATGAGACACACATGCACTCAAATGGATGGCATTAAACTGCCTAATTTTGCACTTCTGTGCCTATCTTTCTTAAAATAGCCATATTTTAATAAGTTATATAAAGGAAATGAATGCTATTATAAAAAGCTTTAAAAAAGAACATTCATCTTTCCCTCATTGTGTGAAATAACTGCCACGGTGGTATAGCGGTTAGAACGCTGGGCTTGTAATACTGGGGGTCCCGGGTTCGATTCCCAGCGGTGCTCAGATTTACAACTTGTGTTGGGCAAGGCCGTGGTCCAGGCATCACGGAGTTTTCCTCCGGGGCTTCCCCAGTTTCTCTGTGGCATCCCAACAATTACTCCACTTTCATCATTATTTCGTGAAAAGGGGGTCACAGCAGGAGCGTTAAATGTCACGGTCCCGATCGAACCCATGTACTGGTGGGTCGTGAATCCTGCTAACCACCAATGCACACCATGCTGAATGGTGTGTACTGGATATGAAAAAAAAAAATTGTGTGAAATATGCAATGTTGTAATGTTTCTTTCTAGGAGGATGATGCAATCTTCACTTCATTGGGCTGCAGAGTTTGTTTTTGCTCCAGCTTGTACAGAAACAATCTCATTCCCACACACGTTCTTCATCAATGAGTCACTGAACTATCACAGTTTTTAATGTCACCAGAGTATTACATATGAAAAGGCCCCAAATGAAAGACCAATATATACTCTGAATGAAACTTTCAGTAATACAGTTTGAAAAAACATGGAGACCTACGTAACATTCTTCGCATTGGTAAACTGATCTTGAGACTTTGACTTTATCAGAACAAACATGACATGATCTGAATGTTTGAAGTCAAGATTTGTGATGCAAACTACCCATACAAGTTACATCCCAACCTACCCTTCTGAAGTTATCTTCAAACTTATATGCTCCACCTCCTGTGGCACTAACAGTTGTAACAAGAGTTGCCATGCCTTTAGACTTGGCCAGTGCTAGGAAGTTCCCCATCTCACTGGTTGGAAAGCGGATGAAATGCAGAGTTCCTTTTCGATGTCGGATCACAATGTTGTCCATCTAAACAGAAGTACAGCATCACTGCAGGAAATGGAGAGGGTTTGTGTTGTGGAAGGACGCACCTGAACCCAGTAACCCATTTCACTGTTGACAATATTCTATCATAATGTCACACCCTCCTGAACAAAGACAATGGTAAACTCCATGCAACCTTTACCTTATTACAAGATTTGAGTTATCAACCGGATTTGTGCTCCAGCCTATGTCATTTCGAGAAGTTCAAAATTCTAAATATTTTTAAAACTGCAGGCATTAAATACCTGTAGGTGTGTATCCCTGTGGCCTGTCTTGCCATAAGCAGAGTTCCTGGTGAGATAGCGACGGATGTTCTTCAGAGTCTCCACTTCAGCATCTGCCTCATCTGGGGTGATGTCCTTCGGTTCAAAGTAAACAAGCTTTGTCAGTGTGCCTCCAATGTCCATCCCAAACCAGGGCATCGCTGTAACCAAAGGCAAGCACCCACAGTGATTGAGAAAGATTCCAGGTTATGTTCTTAAAAACATTTTAATTAATAGTTTCATATAGAAAAGGTTCCTGTACACTTCGAAAATGGTAATAAAATCCATTCTGGTGCAATGGATGTACATGGATGGCAGACTCCAGTTAATCACTCCAGAAGATTTCAAAGTGATGTCATATTATATAAAGTAAATTTCAAAACACACAGGATATTTAATATATTGTACTTTTGCATTAAATTCTTGAAATCAATGATTTGTGTTATCAGTAATATTTGTCAGTATCACAATGCCTTCCACGTAACTGTTGCTTAGGAGAAAAGCAAGAGCTTCACATTAAGGATAAATAGGCACCGGCCTTAACACAAACCATTCAAACTGATGTAATGCAGCTGTTTACCATACTGGTAAAGATAAGTATAATTAGAGCATTATCAATGCAAAAGAAACTTGCTTTCTGTGTTGGGGATAACAGCTTAAGTGGTATGACTGATCACTTCAAGCATAACTCAGTGTGTTGTCGAATTACACATGTTAACAGCATAAATCACTATACGTCAATCAATAAAATTCTCTGCAAATCTCCTATTGAGTACATTAGATAGGTAATTACAGCAACAGCCTCTGGAATCTTCTAGCTACATTTTATATGACTAGCTCAAAGCTTTTGTAAATGGAAATTAATTTAAAAATTAGTGCTATGGCAACTATAAGACTTTGTTCTTTGGTTCTTCTAGTTTCCCGAATACCATACAATCAAAAACTACAAAAATTTCAATGCATAATATGCGATGTTAGATTAAATATATGTGAAAATTGTGAAGAAAACCATTATATTTAAAAAATATAACACTTTTCATGATGTGATATGAAAAAAGATGTTGAAGGGTACGCTGTGATTGATAAATAACACACGTATTGTATTGCTATACTCATGGTCTTTTCCTCTGGTTGTTACTTTTCCTGCTTCACAAATATGTTGTTACAACATACATGGATACATCAAATAATAGCAAGTGAAAGGAACGTTATGCTAGTCTGACAGTTAATACAATAGACAGTGCTTGTACATAATTTACTTTGTGTGACTGAAAACTTAGCAGAAGAAATTATTTCACAGTAATTTCACACAATTTTGTATTTCATTTAAATTTCCCTTATACTGTATTTCAAAGGACAGTAACATGCAGTTTCAGTAGCTCTAAATTTTATTGCATGTTTACTATTCACATGTATTATTTTCTATAGACACATTACTTGCTATTTTTAAACAGACTTACAAATACTTAATTAACAGAGAACAACAGACTAAATTTTTGTTTCTGGTTGATAACCCTATTTAACACATGCATGTTTGGGCTGTAGAAACAATAGCTGCTGTACATACAGAAATACATTTGTTTGTGGATATGTATGCACATACATGTAATGACATATATATATATATACATGAATTTTCATGAAAGTTAGTTAGAAAGGCCAATTTATTGGCACCTTCGTTATACAATATGGTGACTATGCAACAATTAGTGCCATCTGATTTAATAACAGCACATCTCACAGTTTGTTCAAACTGAAAACATACATGGCATGCTGCCTCCATCTCCAAAGCCATTCTCCTCACAACTGGCAGTAGACATCAAGACATCCTTGCTGGAGCCTGCCATCATGCGACCTCGAAGGCAATCCTTACAGTTGTGAGGACTCATCAAGACAGCTGGACAACACTGGCAGCCACACAAATTTAGCTGAAATACACCATAATTTGAATGTTACATTAACATGCAATTATGAGTCTCATACAATGGACATGACTAAAATCACTCCTGCAATGCATCCCAATTTGAGAGGACTGTTCTATTTTACAGAATTCTGAATTATTTTCATGAATAGAGATAACCTATTGTCCTCACCCTTGGCACCTGATTCATAATGAAAATTGAACGCCTTAAATTATGGTATGTAACAGAAGCCTAATGTCCAGACAGATAATGATATTTCACTCTCTTTATATGTGCCCAGTCAACAAGCATGAATTTTCAAGTCATCCTGCTCTCACCTAAGTAGGCCTCTCACATTTAAATTCATCAATTTGAATAACGTACAGCTTATGTAATAACTAGGCGGCCTTGACCTTTGTTATTGCAGAAATGATTTTTGTTCGTTTATTAACAAACAGGCATCTTTTTCATGAATTGCGTAATATACAAATCCGACGAACCTCTTCTTTCGTTTTCATTAGCACTTTAGTGAATTGTCATGTATACCAGCTTCCTTACATCCCAAGAACACAAAAGAGGCGTAGTCACTAATCACTTCAGGATCAAAGAACTAAAGTTAAACTTACCTTCGGACATATTATTAGCCAATTGATATGCACTGGACTTCGATGATATTAATATACGAGTATAAAATTTGCACGCTGATAAGAGAATAGCTTCATTCATCACGATATCATCTCACTTATCAATGAAATTACTAATGTACACAACCATTAGCTGCCATGCAGTTACCACCGAACGTGCTGCTATCTTTCCTTACTTTCTATAGTCATAATATGAACTTCAATTGTTTTGGGTTTAAAGTGTGTGGTATGAAAATCGGACGTGGTATTCACGTTCATGCTGTGTGTGTATTTGTTGTAGCTATTAAGTAAACAGTAAACAGTTTCTTTGCTTGCGTTATTTAAATATTTCGCAATACCACAAAATGGAAAACAGGATTGAATGTGAGGTTAAGACAGACAGTACACACCTACCGTTACCCAAATCGAAGATGCCTGAGTGTTGGAATGATGATATGAGAATGGATTATTTATTTTCACATTTTCGTCCGCATTCAGTAAATCCTATAGACTGGGAATCAAAAATGAAATTTTGGACAGCTCTTTTGGAGGTATGGTGTGTGGAGAATAACAAACCAATGTTCTCATTATCAGGTCTGAGAAAAGCTTTCCAGCGTAAGGGCAGAACCCCAGTTTGTCTGCCGACTGTGATTGAAACCATGCATAGGTAAGTATTCTGACTGAATCATGACCCCATTATTTTCCAGTTCTTTTGACTGTAGTCGCTTGTGAAAAATATAAGTTATGATGTTCGAAGATATTTTGACGTTTATTTAAATTCAAACATTTTTCAGACAAAATGTTTTGTTGTGTATAGGAATGGGTTACTTGTTGTGAAAGAAGAATTCTTTCGTATTCCTCCACAGCAAACGTGGACTGCATGGACCATTGATCTGCTGATCAAGAAACCTGTTTCATGGACATTTAACAAAGTTAGTAACTTTGTTTTCAACAGCATGAAGATGGTATCAGAAGACATACTGTATGTTCACATTGGAGCTTGCAAGGTGGGTGGCATGTCAGAATCTAGGCTGCCTTTTCACAGTACTTTATAGAAGCAGGCCATAACCAGAAATTCTGTGATTTATTATTTCCATTCTAACATTTAATATTGCCATGTCTTACAGCACAATAGCATGCTCATCCAGACAAGATGGCAGCACTGTTTTTTTGTTTCATTACAGGACCTGGGGAACAAGTTGCTGGCTTCAGTAAATTGTAATAGACTTATAGAATTGAATGAGTTGGCAGTACTATGTGGCCAGGAGGACTTAGAACAGTTGCAGGCGATTGTTCATGGACTGTGCCAGCAGGGGAAGGCTGCTATTAAACAGGGAAATGCTGTACTAATCAAGTTGGGAGATCCACACATCAGTGATCTGGATGTTGGTGTGTACACCTTGCAGTGTAATGAACAGACACTCACAAGACACATCGAGCAGTTGGAGGCTGAGAAGCAAATGGCAATGCAAGAGGCGAGGATGTATATATCAAAAAATATGAAACAGGCAGTGAGTTATTCTACATAAAAAGAAGTGGAAAGTGCCACCTACTTCAGGCTTTCTGGAACCAAGTTATTATATCAGCTGATTGCTTGAATGCTTAATTTAGTCATGAGTATATTTTTGATTCCTTGATACTTTAAATTTGCCACATTTTTGAATATGTTATGCCATCAACTGTCACAAGGTTTATGGTTTTTCTCAATCCTAGGCCCATGCCAGTATGATACAAGCTGTAAGCACTTCCTCTCCTAACAATTTCACTTCACCATTAATAATCTTTTTCTTATTCAGAACAACATAAGTGTCATTAAATTAACCGTGTATAGAACAAAGGAGTGAGCAAGTTAGGTAATGTGTTGGGGAAGCATGAGGTTCAGATCTCAGATGGTCTTTAGCTAAGGTCTTTCAAGGTTTATGTCATTTGTACAAGGATGTGGTGAAATTGATATAATATTTTCAATTCTGTATTTCAGCATTCTGTTGTATTGTAATGTTCAGATGCATGTCACACAGCATCATTGCATCTGTGATTGTGCATTGTATCATTGAAGCTGGTTACTGGTGTCACGTCTGAATATCACGTTTTGATTGTTGGGCCGTCATCATCAGGTTCACATGAACACAGTCGCACACACAAGTCATTTCACTTCACAATGTAACTATATTGCTTGTTAATTTTGTGTAGTAGTAACACCAAGTAGTAAAAGCAATAGAAGCAGATAAAAGAATAAGGTGAAAACTGAAGGCATTGTCGTGTGCTTAGTGGGTAGTGGGATATTGCCTTTTTATGTGTCCTGAATCAGATGCAGTAGGCACTGGAAACTGTTTTGTAATGAGTGACTAAACACCAGACAAATTATACTGAGATAATAGCTTAAAATAGGCCATTACCACTTCCTACCCATTTCATTGTTTATAGCCCTTCCTGTGCCCATCTTGATACTTAATTGTCTCCGCAGTTGATGCAGCATTTAATAACCTTCAGGTGATTATACAGAAAAAATTAATATTGTATGTGAGAAATGAAAGCTGATATTTGAAGTTTTATTTGTGAAGCCAAAACGAACTAAAGAATATTTTAAGGTGTCTCACATGGTAGCATGTACGTACGTGTCACAAGTTTCTGTGCTGTTTATAGACTGCTGCTGCTGCTGCCAACTTGTATCGTTGTGTACTCATATATACATGGCTACTTTGCGACAGGCTTTATTCACAAAACTTTTTTCCCTTTATCATCTTGGCTATGGGTTATAACAGAGGTCAACCATACTATATTTGCCAAGCCCTTGTCTGACCCAGAACTGATAAAGATACGTGATTATGTTAACTGTCTGTAACTTACCAGATCACTGCCTGCTGTGTCATCTCATCACCAGTGATATCAGCTGGCCTTGGTGCTAACTCATGCATCAGAAAGAACACGAAGTGTTGGTTGGAACAGATAATTATGTATGGGGAAATATAAAGGACTGGAAAGAGAGTGATTGTGGTCTATTTCAAGCTGTCTCAGCATTTAGTAGAAGGGAATGAGTTATGTTATAAAGACCTCAGTTCAGACCAACAATTTAATCGAGTATTCACATTTCCTGCAACACCTGTTTGACGTAGTTGGACTGATTAGCACATAAAGAGCCAGGAAGTGGTGACCTCTGACAATTTTCACAACACTGCTGTAAATTTCAATGCCGTGAAGCTGACTTACCAGTTTTACCTGTTGTTAATAGTATAACATGAAGTGAGTCTCCCTTCTCTACCACTTTTCCTGCCCTGTGTGCGGAGCCCTCCAGATATAGAGGGTATCTGCAAATATATTAAATAAGTAGTCCCATACACCCGATGAGGGGTGGTCCTCCGTCTTGTGAGTTGGTGGGGCTAACAATGTATAATAAAAACCAACATGTTATGAAATGTTACACATGGTCTTGGATGTGGCAGGCTGTTGTGAGCACAGTAATTTAGTCTTTAGGTTCAATAAAAAGGCAGGGAATTTCTGAACAGCAATCAGCTTCTAAAGAAGGACTCTGCTCCATGAACTTAGTTATTTAAGAGTAGTCAAATGGAGCTCAGATGGGAATAAATGAATGCAGTATTTTGGTGGGAACAGTTCTTGGAAAATAGCCCTTAGGAGACCGACACAAGTGGAGTTTAAATGGGTATTATACGAATAGTTTTTGATTCAGGACAAGATCAAATGGCAAGGCTTGTGTGTTAGCAGTATTGAGACTTGGGGGTTCTGTTACCATTAGTATATACAGGGTGTCCCAGGATGAAAGGTCAATGTTCTGGGAGGTCGTAGCATCGGTCATTCTAAGCAAAAGAGTCTATATGTACACGTGTCCTATTCCGAACGGTTTCCAAGATAGAGCTATTTCACTGTACTGTAGTTTGGATTTGGCGCCCAATATTGTCCTTCCCTATTGGATGTTATTGCCCGCATAAACCAACATCAAGGTGCACTCAGGTGAGCAACACGCCATGTCCTCACACGAGTTGCAAAGTGCATTGATATTGACGGTGGAATTTTCGAAAATGTGTTATACTAGGTAAACTGTACCAACTTTGTCACTTGAACAATAAATACCGGTATTAGAAACAGTACGTAATATCTCTTTCTTATCAACAGCGGTACAGTGAAATAGCTGTATCTCAGAAACCGTTCAGAATAGGACACATATACATATATACTTTTTTGCTTAGAATGACCGATACTATGACCTCCCAGAATATTGACCTTTCCTCCTGTATGCTAGTCAACAAATGAATGTTGTGGCTGAAGGCAAGG